TTTGGGTTATAAAGCTTGGATATTGTGAATGATTGAATGACTCATACAATATTTTGGATACTTAATTTCTAAAAATAAGATGGGATTGACTAAGGTTCATATTCTGAAGTTGTTGAATTATTTTCCATAGATGATTGTGCCTTTGTACATATTAGTTTGTGTTATCTTGAGGTGATATAGTCTTGATGAGGAGGATTTCATTAATGGTTTTGCTATGGAATGGATTTAAGATTACTTGAGGACAAATAAAAACTCAAGTGTGGGGGAGTTGATATAACTGAATTTTATAGATATTTTTCTATTTTATTTGAGTTGATTTTAATTGATTTTTGCTGTATATACCGTTGAATTATTCTTGGCACTTTTTAAGAATGATTTTGGGACTTTGAAGCAAATTGGAGTGGACTGGAGCAACATTTGGGCGAAAAAGGGTTGAAACATGAAGATATGGTAGATATGTCCATAAAACACGACCATGTGTTAAAAAGCTAGCATTTCTACTTTTGAGGAGGAGTTAGACACGACCATGTGATTGAAGACACGCTATGTGCCCTATACTGGGCTAAGACACGATTAGAAGTGCACGATCGTGTGTTATCAGCAAAATACATATGCTTTTTTTGGTGAAAGAGACACGGGTGTGTGCCTGGGAGACACGGTCATGTCCTGTTTATGAGCTAAAAATTAACGTGATTTTGAGAAAGAAATGGTCGTGTGTTAATTCGACACAGCTGTGGGACGTGTCAAACTAGATTTATACTATGTAATTAATTAGGTTTGAACTATTTATTTGGAGGCTTTTCTAGGAATTGAGTAGAGAGAAAAAAAAAGGAAAACGGTTGTAGACAACATGAACTTTTTCTCTAGGGTTTATTTTCAATCATTTTGTGAGTTATTTTATGTTTTCTTTAGATTTGATTCTTGCATTTTTGTTTAGGATGAGTAGCTAAATTCTTTTGTTGGGATCTTTGATGAAACCGTAAGGGATACTTTGTATTTCATTATTTAATCTATAAAAGTTCGTTTTCCCAAATGCTTATATGTTACCTTGTAGATTAATGGATAAATAGATTGATCACCTATTTATTGATTTGTAATGAATGATCAAATTGAGAGATTGATTATTCATTAGAATATCAAGTTAGTAAAATAGATCAAATGTGAGTAGAGATACTTGGCATGATCTATGATTTAATGATTGAATGTTAATGCACCGATTCAGACTAATCCGTAGAGATATGTTTGTTATTATGAATTAGGTAGGGCAATTGATCTTAAGAAAAAGATTACTACATGATTGAATAAAATTGGGTGAAAATTTCTTGTTATAGATTGAATTAAAAAAATTTATAGTTAAACTTAAGGTAGGTTATGAGATCTTAATAGTTATTATATCTCGATTGTTAATCAGTTTTAATTCATTAGTTTCTTAGTTAAGCATTAGTTTATATTCATTCTCTTAATTATTAGCCAAATAATATTAATCAGTTGAGATTCTAGTATTTGTTATATTAGTCTTCATATAACGATATCTGAATTCACCGTTATAGTACATGTTCGAACTAGTGCACTTGTTAAGTGAGTTCATATCACAACACATATTCTAATATATCTTTTTTTTACTTTATTTATGTTATTTTACTTACTTTTTGTTTTATTTTATTTTATTTTGCTTTTTCTGACCCCTATTTCCCTTGAGATATGACAATCAATGTTGGTAGGTTTCCTTATTATGCTTTTAGATATTCTTACCATAAAGTTATATCCGTCTCATTCTCCTTTTATTTGCTCTTGTTTAATTTCTCACACTATATTTGCTTGTTTACTTCAAGCACATTTGTTTTCTCCCCATTTGCGTTTTAAGGTTTTATGCTTATCACTCCTTCTACTTGATGCACGTTACCTTTTCACTAATTTTATTTCATGCATTTTATTTTCTATGCTTTATTTTTTTAACTTCATAATTTCACCAATTAATTTAACACACTTCATTTTTCACGCTCTCTTGATCAAAACAATGATGATTGAATGAATAAGTTTAAAACTTGCATGGATGAAGATTATAAAGATCGAATTCTTGCCTGGTTAATTTAGGGTACGTCTTTAGAACATATTAAACTTCAATATACATAATTGAGATGAAGATAATCTATCTTACAAGGGATCCTAATTATTGAAGTAAATCTTGATTGCTGAATGATTTGGGTGGACCTTTAAGTGTTATCCTTATTTTTTAGGTCATGGTCCCAATAGTATTGGAAATCATGAACACAAGAACACAAGAGTATGTCCAAAGCCATCTCACAATATGTTTGGAGGCATAAAGAATTGATTCTACGACTATTTTTATATTTTTCATATATAGGACATAAAATAATAAGTATGTATATAATCTTGAAGTTGTCATAAGTTATGAGGCATTTATAATATATCGCCCAAACTCGACAACTTATCATTTTCAAACACTGGATAATAAGCATCAATTATTTCTTAAGGAGTCTTCTTACTCTCTTCTTATGACATGTCAGGATTATCATCTTGAATTCTCGTGATCATAGAGTTTTGAACCTTAGAACATGGGAAATGAAAAATATGGACTATCAATGTCATTATTTCTACATTAAAGTTCTTAATTAGTCAATTTACTATA